TCTTCACCATGCTGCTGAAAACGGTAATTCTGAATACTTCTGTGTGGGAAAAATGTGATTCAATCTTTTTCATTTTCCAGGTATTTGGAGACCGCTCAACTTCTCATAAACAATGAATGTGTCAATGTAATGGACGAAACTGGAATGACACCTCTTCACTGGGCTGCTGCAAAGGGTAATTCTGAATGATTATGTGTGGAAAGTATTGTTGAACCGAGTCACAATGCCACCAAAAAATACAGCCAAAGCAAAAAAACAACGAGCCGCATCAGTTGACAATTGCCGTTCAATTCGTTCAACAAGCACAGTATCATCACGTGCTGGATCGGATTTGCTGCAAAGTGACGACGAAGAGGCCGTGAAAAAAATTGAAATGATGTCAACACAAGCGGAAAATGCAACAAACGGTGAACGGAAGGAATTGGTGTCAGCTGCCGTGAATTCATCAACAAATGTATCGAAACAGCGACAAAAGCCTAAAACTGATGAGAATGATTCAATAATGAGTCTACTTCGGGACATCAAGAAAAATCAATTCACCAAAAAGGACAGCACATCGCTGAAAAAGTCATTTGATGATAAATTTGCTGTGGTACAGACCGAGTTGAATGCGCACAGCTCTCAATTTGTTGACATTGAAGAACGACTATCGCGGTTCGAAAATAATATTGCGTCAGCCTCTTACAATCGTGAGCTACAGAAACAATAACAACTGAAGCAAAACATAAGCATTTTTGGCTGTCCAAAGCTTGAAGGCGAAAATGTCAAAACGACGGCTTTGAACGTTTTTAAAGCGTTCGGATGTGAATTCAATGAGACTGATTTTGCTGCAGTGTATCGTACTGAGGGAAAATCGCCGAAGTTCAGCTCGATAATTGTCAAATTCAAGGATTTCAACAACAAATTGATGGTACTGAACTCAAAAGCAAAAAAGCCGGTGAAAACGAGTGATATCAATGGTGCTTCTGCGAGACAAACGAATGCACAAATCTATCTCAACAATCATGTGACTCCCTTCTTCGGAAGATTGTTGGGCGCCGGACGGCAAGCAACAAAAGATGAAATCATTCATTCGTGTTCAGAGCCATGAAACCGAACTGTCAAACTACAACGGGGACCGCGTAGTCGGTTGTCATTCGTTGCGGAACGCGCTAAAAGTATGCATAAGTACATGAGTACATATTTCAAGCATTCTGGTTAAAAAATATTTCAATTATTTATAAAAATATACCTAGTGTATTAATATGAAAACCCATTTTTAATAACATTTTAGAAACGTTTGAAAAAATACCGAAAAAGAATATGAACTTTCTTTTTTTTGCTCAGAAATTCTTTGCTAACATTTTTCTTGTTTTTGATTGACAAAGTGAGGTTAAGTATCTACTGACATGTTCAATGTGTAGAACAAATTTGTGCACTCGGTGGAACAAAGCCATTGTGTGTTTAAGGAGCCACTTTATTCCCATGGCTCCTGAAACACATTTTCAAGCTCACTTTGTAGGAAGCGAACGTAAAAAATGAGAAAATAGAATTAATTGATTTCAAAATTCATTTGAACATCAGCAAATCTAAAGAAAACTTAGATAAATATGTTCATGTTGGAAACATTTTTCTAAATTTGATAATGTGGATGTGTCATCCAAATCATTCATTGCATTTAAATAGGAAATAAAGAAACAACATAATTTTACACAAATATTCATTTTCCACTTGATTTTATCATTTTTATTCACTCCATGAATAATATACGTTCACGAAAATACGTTGTCTTTTTCAAACATTGTAGTTCAAATTCAACGAGTCGTTCTACGAAGGTGCACTTAAGACTGTCTGGCGTGTATTTAATTTGTACTTTATTCTGACAGCCGCGTTGTAATTGATGATGACAGTTCGGTTTCGCCCCTCTGTTCGTGTTGGATTGGAACTTCGGGGTGCCTCATCAAAGTGAAGGAGAATGACAAACCGATTAACATTCGCTCGATTGATGACATCGATACACTACGTGCACGAGCTGGCAATACAACAAACATGAAGAGGAACAAACCGGATGAACCAACAAGTCCACAAGATTCAAGCTCGAAGAAAACCAAATAAGTTGCGCCAATGGTCTAATTGCATTATATATCATTTCATTTAATCAACAAATCAATTACCAATTGCTTGTTTTTTTTTCAATTTACTTTTTTTTTCCAACAAATTCAGCCTAACTTTTTTTTACAAATTCAGTTTAATTTTTTCTTTTTTTTTTCTCTCTTCTTTCGACTTCATTAAATCAAGTCTATTAATTCTTTAAACCAATTATTGCCATTATTTATTTATTTTTTTTTTTTTTCTACTTTTGGTTAATTTTTTTTTCTTTTTCTGATTCACGATGCAAGTGAGCTCGAAACTGTCAACTGTCATTAGGTATCAAAATGTGAGAGGATTGAGAGGTAAGATTGATGCATTCTCCACAAACATAATGAACTCTGAAGCAGACATACACATTCTAACGGAGACATGGCTTAATTCGAATTTTCACTCGTCTGAGTACATCACGAACAATTTTACATCACATCGTAGAGATCGTAATTACCAAAACACCAAGACCACTATGGGAGGCGGTTGCTGGCTTTTTCATGAAAAGGAAATGGATGTGACTCGTAGGTATGATTTGGAATCTGACATAGATTTTGTGGAAGATTTATGGGTACAGGTTAAATTGGACAATTCTGATAGTAATTTATTCATATGTGCAGTGTATATTACATCCATGCCTAGCAATGCTCACCCATACATTGCCTTTACCGATAGAATCAAAGATAGTCTTTCAAAACTTGACCCGTCTGATAGAGTGCTCATTATTGGTGACTTTAATGTGCGTGCTATTGAATGGGTTTTGGGAAACGATGGAATTTAGACACCTTTTCTCAGTAACAATTGTGAAAAAGCAATTGATGTGCTAAATTTAATCAGTTTTGGTAACTTAAGACAGCACAATCCAGTAGTAAACAAAGATGAAAAGATTTTAGACTTGGTTCTATCATCTGATCCGTTGAGAGCGCTAAGTGTTGTCGAGTCAGATGAATTTCTGGTCAATGTGGATGGTTACCATCCACCTCTTGAGATCACAATAAATGAACAGGTGAAATATTTGCCTGTTTTTAATCACCGAAAATATAATTTCAGGAGAGCAGATTATGATCTAATAAAAACAGAACTCGAATTAATAAACTGAGATTTTCTTAATGATTTTCCGCTTGAAACAGCAATAAATAGATTCTATGATAGGCTCAATGAAATTATACACAAATACACACCAACATTCAAGGGTAGACTGAAATTTCCATTATGGTTCGACAATGATTTAAAAACAGCTCTGAAAAACAAAGAAAAAGCTAGGAAAAAATATGGAAAAACAAATATGATTGAAGATTACCTTAAATTTTCTGATTTAAGAAAAGAATGCAAGTCCAAAATTGAAAGCTGTCATTCTGCCTATATCACACACATTCAAGCAAACATGAAATCAAACATGAAACTTTTTTGGGCATATTCCGAATCAAAAAGGCAAACGAATAGCTATCCATCGCAATTCAATTTTGACAACTCCACAGCCTCGTCACCGAATGAGATATGTGAGCTATTTGCCACATTCTTTAAATCTACATACACAGACCGTTCATCAGACCACACATTTAACATCATAGAAACCGCAAACCCAACAACCGCAAACCCAATAAATATCACACCAAATGATGTTAAAATTGAAATCTCAAAGTTAGATTTAAATAAGAATGGTGGTCCGGATGGCATTCCGAATTTCTTTCTGAGACAGGTGTGTGAGCAATTGTCAATTCCACTTGCATTAATCTTCAACAAGTCATTATTGTGTTCTGAATTTCCCCTAGCATTCAAAACGTCATTGGCAACCCCCATTTTTAAAAAGGGTGATGAATCTAATGTGTCGAACTATAGACAAGTCTGTATGGCGAATTCCATTGCGATTGTCTTTGAGAAGATCATGAACAAATACTTATTATCATTAATAGAAGAACAATTAACACCAAATCAACATGGTTTTATCAAGAATAAATCGACAAACACCAATCTCATTGAATATGTAAGTCATGTATCGACAGCATTGGATGAGGGTTTTGAGGTACATACAATATACACAGACTTCACAAAAGCATTTGATTCAGTTGATCATGATATTCTCCTCTCTAAGCTTCAGTTAATGGGGCTTGAAGCTGGATTGCTATTATGGCTGAAATCTTATCTTAAAAAACGACTTGTCTATGTAACATTTAATGGACACAGATCATCACCTTTCGAGCCAAGTTCAGGTGTTCCTCAGGGTTCAGTATTGGGTCCTCTTCTTTTTAATATTTTCATCAATGATCTCAGCGTACTACTGGAAAATATTCATCTGCTTTTCGCAGACGATCTGAAAATATTCAGAATCATTCGCTCTTCCAATAATGTAATTGAATTGCAAAAAGACATTGATAGACTACACAGATGGACTGTTGAAAATAAATTAAACCTCAACATTGGAAAATGTTACGCCATGACATTTTCAAATAAGATAAACCCAACATCTGCCATCTATAACATCAATGGCAATCCACTGGTAGAAGTTGAAGAAATGAAAGACCTGGGCGTTATCTTTGATAGAAAGTTGAAATTCGATGTGCACATTAACTCAATTGTCAAAAAATCGTATAGCATGCTAGGCTTTGTAATAAGAACTGCATCAAAGTTCAATGACCTGTCCTGCGTAGGCTTCCTATATAACTCTCTGGTCAGATCCAGACTGGAGTACAACACTGCAGTCTGGAACCCATACCAGAGCACATACATCTCAAAACTTGAAAAGGTACA